CGGAGCTGGGCCCCTCCAAGCAGCAGCGGTGGGGAACAGGACTCTGTCAGGAAAGAGCCGACTGGACTCTTGCTTGGCCCTGGCGGGAGCGCAGCCTGGAGCTGAGGACTGCCTTGCCCCATCTGCGCTGTTGGCAGCGGGACAGAAGGACCTGTGACCAGGCCTGGGGCTGAAGACGAGGAGCTCAAGCATCGCGTTGGTGTTGAAGGGCGTCCTGGGAGCAACGAGGAGCGGAGCTGGTGGATGTGCTGCTGGAGCTGGCTGGGAACGGCGTGATGTGGGGGGCGAGCAGAGACGGCTCGGAGGGCTGCAGCTGCGAAACTGCTCTGCCCTGCCAGGGCCAGGCAGCTGGGGAGGAAGGAAACCTGGGGCAGGCAGGGCTGCGGGGCTGCATCCGTCCCGGCCTTGGCACGGCAGCCCGGGAGGGTGCCAGTGTGGGAGGGAGCCTTCCTGGTGGGGAAGGCGAGGGAATGAGTGGTGCCAGGAGCCCTCCCGTACACACAGCCATGTCCCAGCCTTGCCCTGCTCAATAAAACCTGGTGGTCAGGCACAGGAGCTGGCAGTGCGAGCACTCCTGTCTGCTTTCCGGCCCCGTTTTGGGCTCTTCCCCGTGGGCACCCACCCAGGCTGGAGGAGGGCAGTCCCGCGGTGGCCCAGCGCTTGTCCCCAGCACCAACTCTGGCAGTACCTGAGGGGCTGCCCGTGGTGTGATGGTGGAGATGGGCAACCAGCAGGTCAGGACCAGGCTGGGGCTACTTGTGTGCTGGAGCTCGGGCGGGCACTGGGAGCCTCTTGGGGACCTGCCCCTGTCCTTCACACCATGGTGTGGGGCTGGTACCTCCTTCTGTTCTCCATCTTCTTCCTGTTCCCATCCCAGTCCACATGTCCTGTGGCTTTCCTTCTCCCTGGCTGGGCTGATGCAAGGCTAGGGCAGTGGTGGCAGGCTGCTCATGGGCCTTCCCACCCAAGAAACACCCCATGAGGTTCATTCACCCAGCATTGGGGCAGGCTGGCTGGGGGGCCATGTCTCTTGCTGGGAGCATTCTGGGGTGTGTAGGGGGCTGGTGGCCCTCACCGAGGTGGCTGTGAGTGCTGGTGTTTCCCGCTTTCCCCACTCATTCAGGTCCGTGCCCAGGTCTGGGGGCAGCCCCAGCACTTGTTCCTGTGTGCCTTAAGCAGTGCCCCTGGAGCTCTTCCTCTCCCCTTTCGCACCTCCGCTGCAGGGGGGCTGGGGCTGGCTGCCAAAGGCATCCTGTTCTGCTCCATGCAAGCCATGCCCTGGAGTCCGAAGGACAAAGTTGGGCAACACCATGTTCGTGGGGCACCCCCAACAAGGGGTTAAAACAAAATCAAGGGTTGTTCTTGAAAGCTTCAAGCAGAAGGCTGGAGGGCAAGACATGCAAAGGTTTCAATGCTGCCATCAAATGAGGTGACCTTCAGTTTATCCTGTGCTGAGGAACAAGAGTGGAGCCTAACGTGCCAGGTGTTGGGGTCCAAGGCAGCTCCTCCCCAGGTCTTGACATGGCAGCCTGTAGCTGGGGCCGGCTCGCTCCGAGCCGTAGTGCTGGTGCTGCCTGGGGCTGGCACAAGAGCGTGGGCACAGGGCAGGTCCTGTGGCAGTGGAACCCTGGCAAGGAAAGCCAGTGGTGTGTGTTGAGGCGATGTGAACCTCCATGCTGCCGTGTGCAGCATGGTATGGATGGGGTGAGTTGCACCCATGCAGCTGGGCACATCCTCCAGGAGCCTGCTGGATCTCTTTTGGACCCCATTTCCACTTCTGGTATCCACGGTGTCCTGGGGCACAGCCTACATGGGCTCTGCCTCAAGAATGGCCTGTGAAGCTCCTCCTTGGCTGCCTCGTGGATGAGGGGGACTCACTGCTCCCCTTCCCGTGCCGCTCAGGGTCTGCGTGGGCCATGTGGTGCCTCAGCTCCCGTGGCCTGTCCAGGTCCGTGCAGGCTCTTCCCACCCCTGCATGGTGTTTCAGCCTGGCTGGTTGTGCTTTGAAGCCAAGGAGAACCGTGTGCAGCACTTGAGGGATGTACGTGATGGTTTCTGTATTGGTTTTAACAGTAAAAGTTTCACCACAGTAGTATTAAACCTTTAAAAAGGAAGTTACATAAACCCAAGGATGTTAATTAATAAAAAAAAGAAGTTTGTAAAAAAAATCCAAATAAGCTCCTGCCCAGAGGCTTTTCCTAACAGTTCCTGGTGTCTGGCATCACCTCTTTGGCTGCTCCTCGGCACTGAGAGGTTTCAGGCCCCACACAGCCAACCTGTGTTGCTGCTTGCCCTGCATTGCCTGAGTCCCAGGACGCTGTGTGTGGCCTTGTCCCCTGCTCCTCCCATGGCGTGGGCTGTTGGGGTGGGGGGCAAGGACCTGGGCGCCTGGGAGGGAGGCGGCTGTCCTGCTGTGGCAGCGCTGAGAGGGTCGGCTGGGGCAGGACAGGAGCAGGGGACGGCACCACTGGCACAGGAGGTTTGGGATCTGCACCTCTGGGTGTCGGGGCTCCCTCCACCTCCACGGGGTGTTCCGCTGAGGCCTCACCAGCGAGGGGAACCTGACAAGCCCTAGCAGCTCGCTGATGCTCACGGGACTGCTGCAGGCATCGCGCCCAGGGAGGACCAGCTCCCTTCCCTGCCCCTGCAATGTCCCTGCCAGAGGGGAGAGTCCTGGGACCCTCCTCATCCCTGGGTGGCGGGGGCTGCCAGTGGGACATGGCACCCAGCGGTGACATGAGGGGCAGGGTGGGGGCCTGGT